TTTTATTTTTTTACTTAGACTTTTTGTTAGAGTTTGCATGAGTTTTCACTAAGGCCTCGTTTGATTCATAGGGAACAATAGAGAAAAAAACATAGGAACAAGAATCCTACGGAATTTGGTACTATTCATCCCTTTGATTTGTAGGAATTAAACATAGAAAAAGCATGAAAATATTTCCTATGACCATGATTTCAAGAGAATTCCATAGGAAAATTAACATCCACCTTGAGCTCATTTTTCTTTTCCTATGGGTAGGATCGAGGCAAAATACTATTGGAAGATAAGGTTTAACCCTAATAAAACCATTCAAATTTTGATTGCTATTGACTTAATACTCAACATTCCTATGTTTTTCCTTTATACCAATCAAATATCATTCCTACAATTTTCTTATGTTTTTCAATCATCTGTTTTGCATATGATTTCCTATACTATTACTGAGTTTTTCTTATTCCTACATTTTTTCAATCCTATGATTCATATGAGCTCTAAGATTGAGTTTTCACCTTGCACCGCATATTTAGGGTGGGTACAGTAGTGGGAGTACACCAGCTCAGCTACTGGAGTACTGGAGTGAGTACACCAGCTCAGCTAGCTCTGTCAGATGCTCATGAGATTTCTCTGTTTCCAGTACTAAGGCCTCTCACAGTGCGGTGAGTTGGATTGGTGTTTCACAGTGCCAGCTTAGAAAAACGCAGACGTGGAGGGTGTCGCCGTGCCCCTGCAAAGCACCTCGCCCCCACGCAGAGCGCCGCACTTCCTCCTCTCGGCGAGTCCGCGCGCGCCGTCGCGAGGCGAAGTTCCGCGCGCTGTGGAGCACGTGTCCGTGACGAGCGCGTGCCCTCGCGGCGAACGGGAGGTGCAATCCCCGATTCGCCCTCCCAAAATCCCCTCCCGCCACAACATTATTTCTCCCGCCATAGATCGGATTGGAAGAGAAAAGGCAATAAAATCTTGGAGATTGGAAGAAAGAAAAGATCGGATTCGACAAGATGAAAAAGAAAAGCAAAGCAAATTCATCACAGCAAATTCATCACGGCAAAATCATCCCAGCAAAATCACGACGACGACGACGAGCCGGCAACCACGACTCCACCTCCCCGGCCGCGCGCGCACCGACGAGGAGAGGAGTCCTCCCACGCGCGTCGGTCGCCGCGGCGTCGGCGCCTCACCTCCCCGGTGTCCCCGCTTGCCGCCCAGGCGTCCGCCGCGAGGGAGGAGAGCACAACGAAGAGGAGGAAGAAGGTGAAGGGGAGGAGAAACGAGCGGCGCGGCCGCGCGGGCGACGACGAGGCGCACGGCGACGAGGACCACGCCGTTGGCCGCCACCTCCAAGCCAGAGGGCTCGAGCGGACTGGGCCACGCGCTGTGTTGAGTTGTGATCCAAATTCATTTGCACTTAATAAAGGCTAGCTTCTGCCGTAGCGGATCATCATCCCTTTTAGGGTTCCACTATATATATACCTCTTGTAAGCCGCCGTGCGGCGATGTAACCTCACCTCAGATATAGTGAAGATATTTTGCTGGCTGGCGCCCGTGGTTTTTTCTCTCCTGTTTTGGGAGGGTTTTCCACGTTAAATCTTGTGTCTTTTGTGATTGATCTATTGTTCTTTATCGTTTGTTCGCCTATCGTTTCCTAACACGCTGGCCTCCGGCCGCCACGCCTGGGCGGACGTAGACCCCCACCCTCTCGGCCTGGATCTGGGGCGTGGTCGTGTGGGAGCGGAGGAGTAAGGGCGGGGCGAGGGGAGGAGAAGGAGTCGGAGTGCGGGAAGGAGGTGGGGGAGGAGGCGTGCGACGGAGGAAACAAAGAGAATCGAGGAGGAGAAAGGGGTGTCGAGACCGAGCGCTGGAGGGCAGGTTTGGAATTATTTCCTTCACCTGCCCGTGCCCTCATTTTGGCAGGGTACATGCACTGTGGACTCGGTTACCTCTCCCACTACATTTATCCAATTAAACTACTGTGGACTCGGTTACCTCCCCCACTGTATACAACTAGGGGTACTTGCACTGTAGAATAGGCCGTCTTTAGGCCAATTTTTTGGGTTAGGGGTACGGGCCCCATAGCTTGTATTGTGAATGGACCAAGCTGTCGCGTTGGCATTCTGCCACGTCATCACCGGGCCACGTGCATGCGTCCGTTATCCTCCAGCATGGACGTACACGTACGTTGGATACTCCCTAAAATAAACCAATCTTCAGGGGTGAAATAATAGTTTATTTTAAAACGGACGAAGTACGTGTATTTGTACACGATATGTATATATAGCTAAAATAATAGGTTGTTCGTTACTTTGCGTTGGAAAGTTCTCCACATCAACACGAAAAATGGAATAGCTCATTAGAGCATAATTAATTAAATACTAGCTTAAAAAACTTAAAAAATATAATACTTCATCCGTTTTATAATATAAGTCATTCTAGCATTTTTTATATTTATATTGATGTTAATGAATCTAGACATATATATCTATTTAGATTCATTAACATTAATATGAATGTTGGAAATGCTAAAATGACTTACATTGTGAAACAAAGGAAATAATAAGCTTTTTTCAAACAACGTTTCTATTTTTTTTAAAAAAAATAGTATTATTTATCAATTTAAGAAGCGTGCACGTTGAAGAAAAAGTGTAAAAATGATGAAACGAACTCAGTCAAGTGTAGAATGGTCTGATGGCTATGACATGCATGTTCCGTCCTTGTTACACCGGCCAGCTAATTAACTAGAGCTTGCTGGGTAGACAAGTGACAACAGCAATGTCTGGGAAAGTCATTTCAACCCTCGAGGGGATATCGGCTCATTTCATGCATTCCACCTAAATAGTCATAAAAAAATATGAAAAAAAAGGCAACATAGATTAATATAAAATATATCACTCTACAAACATACAAGTTTAAATTCAACTTCTACAAGTTGTAACAAAAATAACAAATATAGTTGCGAATGTATGATAACTATTTTCAGTTTAATTTGTTATTTATGTTGCAACTTGTAGAAGTTGAATTTGGTCTATATTTGTAGAGTGATTTATTTCGTATTAATCTATGTTATCTTTTTTAAAAAAAATTTTGATAACTATTTATATGACATGCAAACAATGAGGGGATGTTCCCTCGGGCGATGAACCACATCCGCAATGTCTTACTCAAAACAAAAGGGGAGGAGAAACTGCAATGTCAATCCTACTAATTGGCTTCAAAAAGATGGACAATATTACACATGCACCAATAACGCTCAACTAAGGTTTTGTGTGGCTGATAAATAGCCTGATATATTTACACCGACCAAAGGGTCAAATTAATCAAGCAGATGCATATGATACATATGATCGATCTTTGAGCAAACGATATATGCATGGATCAATCCAGCGGCAGATCTTAAAAAAAAACGATTCGTTGGTGTTATAACGTATTTATTAGTGTTATAGCATACTTGTTATGCTTGGATCATAGTGTTATAATATATGAATAAACAGTTTCGTTATAGCTAGGTTTTGCTAAAAGTCATCGGTATCGCCACCGACCATTACACTGTAAATCCACCCTGTATCGATCGATTGAGTCTCCATCGATCCAACTATATATAGCAACATGTGCAGTTTTCGGTCACCACTAGGTAGATCGATCATCCCTATAATCATCATTGTACGACGTTGCGTGTTCGACGGCTGGATTAATTGGTTTGAATAATTTTTGGTAGTTAATTATCTGACTACATTTTCCCAATTCTTACCAATAAAGTCGAGTTTGCACAAGCTACATGTGTGAATTCTTTTTTTTATATCTTAGATACACTTTTTTGTCAGAGTTTACATGAGTTTTCACCAAAATTGAGTTTCCACCTTCCACCGCATATTTAGGGTGTATTCAGTAGTAGGAGTTTGGAACTCTCCCCGAAGCACCGCATATTTAGGGTGTATTCAATAGTAGGAGTTTGGAACTCTCCCCGAAGCACACAAAATGGAGTGTTGTATCAGCGCATCTATATACTAATATAAAAAGGAGTTTGCCCCTCCCAATCCTATTGGTGAAATCATTCCATCTATCTCATCCGTTCATCCTCATCCCATCTAATCTCATCCGTCCGCTGTACACCGTAGCTAGTATATCTCCTCTAGCGATTTTGCCCGATCTCATCCCACCAGCAATTTCGGTCCCCATGCGGTGGCTGCGCGGCGCAAATCCCCGCGCGGTGACTCCGCCTACTCACTCTGCGCCTTGCTCCCCGCGCGCATCCTCGCTCTACGCCTCCTCTCCTCACTATGGTCCAGCGACAGTTTACCGCCGGACCAACAACCTCACGTCCTCGTTCCGCGCAACGCCGGACCTCCTTCATCCTTGCAACGGACCAACGACAACGCACCATCGCACCGCCAGACCAGAGCCGAGGCACTACCGCACCGCCAGACCGGCACCGAGGCACCATCGCGCAGCTGCCCACCGCTAGACCAGCGCACGCCATCTCATCCCCTTCAGCCGGGGACTGCCCCAGACGGTGGGGTAGTGGTTCCCCCTACCGCCGGAGCCGTTGCGGCGCACGCCACGCCGGCGCCGAGTTTGTTCGACATTCTGTCAAACTTTCTTCGAGATGCTTAGGAACTGGTGATTTGGGGACTACTTCAAGGTGGAGGCCATTGGGTTAGCCTGGGATCATCTCACTCAGGTTTTCTTTTTTTTGGATCCTTTTAGATTCCCTTTTTATTCTCATGCAATTGTGGCCGTGCTGTGTGAATCTAATGTCTCTTCTAATTGGGACTGGAATCATGAGTTGGTTGGGTTGGCATTAAACTGTTTTGAGCTAGCGAAGTCTTGATAAATAATACTTCCTCCGTTTCACGATATAAGTCATTCTATTATTTCACATATTTATATTTATATTAATGAATCTAGACATATATATCTATCTAGATTCATTAACATCAATGTAAACGTGAGAAATGCTAGAATGACTTACATTGTGAAACGGAGGGAGTAGAAGAGTTGTTACTTGTAAGAGATGTCTTATTTTCTGATCTTGTCGAGTACAAATAATAGATAAGAGACAAACAATAGATGAGTTGTTGTGCTCGACAATTTGGGAAGATGTCTGAGTACAACACACCTAGCTTTATCCCCTATAAATACGTTTATACCCCCCAGCCTGAAAAGTTAACCATGCAGGCATCAAATCACACAGCACTAACTCATCAAGAGCTCTACATATACATACTAATTAAACCTAAATACGTAGCCTGATCAGTTTAGGTTTGTCAAACGCCATGGATATGGAGATGGGTAAATTGCTTCATCGCCCATGGAAATGGAGCTTAAACTCGCCGCTACTGCTGCTGCTCATCGTCCCCGTGATGATCCACGTACAGCTGAAGCTACGTCGTCGTCGCAAGAACGCCGCCGCCGGCACGAGGCTGCCGCCGGGGCCATGGCGGCTCCCCGTCATCGGCAGCCTGCACCACCTCGCCATGAACCCGAAGGCGGTGCACCGCGCGCTGGCCGACCTCGCGCGGCGGTGCGGCGGCGGCGGCGGCGTCATGTACCTCCGCCTCGGCGAGCTCCCCGTCGTGGTGGCCTCGTCGCGGGACGCCGCCCGGGAGGTCCTGAGGACGCACGACGCCGCGTTCGCCACCCGCGCCATGAGCGTCACGGTGAGGGACTCCATCGGCGACACGGTGGGGATACTCTTCTCGCCGTACGGCGAGCGGTGGCGCCGCCTCCGCGGGATCTGCAGCCTCGAGCTCCTCAACGCGAGGCGGGTGCGCTCGTTCCGCCCCATCCGGGAGGAGCAGGTCGCCCGCCTCGTTGGCGCCATCGCCGCCGCCGCCGCCGCTCCCGGCGGCGATCAGCCGCCGCCGGTGAACGTGAGCTGGCAGATCGCCGGGGCGCTTACCGACCTGACGCTGCGCGCCATCATGGGGGAGTGCGGCTTCCGATGGCGGGAGGAGTTCCTGGAGACGCTGGGCGAGGCGCAGAGGAAGGCGAGCAGGTTCGGCGTCGCCGACCTGTTCCCGTCGTCGAGGCTCCTCCGCGCCGTCGGGAGCACGGCGGTGCGCGACGTGAGGGCGTTGAACGCCAAGCTGTTCGAGCTGGTGGACCGCGCCATCGAGCAGCACCGGGAGGCGGCGGCGACGACTGCGGCTGGCGGCGACCACGACGACGGCGGCGACGACGACGCGCGTGACGACAACGAGTGCTTGCTGAATACTCTCATGAGAATCCAGAAGGAAGGTGGTGGCACTCTCTCCATGTCAACAGTCAAAGCCGTTATTCTTGTAAGTTCTTTTTTTTTATCTAAGACTTTAATTTAATTTTCTTTTAAAGAGTCACATGGATTTTTTTTATCTATGACTTTAATATAATTTTGTTTTAAAGGGTCACTGGGATTTTTTACAAAAATATATTCTTACTAGCTATTCCCTAGTGATCCATCCATCCAAAGTCTCTTATATTTTCAGATGGACAGAGCATATATATGAAGCAAATATAAAATATTATGTGAAAACTATTTGCAATATTAATCTATCAGTACAATTTTATACTCTAAACACAGTTGTCATTTAATTAGGGTTGCTATAGCACGGAATCCTATCCAAATAGTATACTCTCACGTATATATCATATCTTAATACCTCCCTGGTATCACCTGATACTCATAGGTATCAAATTTGGTACCTAACCGGTATCACCTAATATCCATAAGTGCCAAGTACGGTACCACATAGGCCTCGCCTAGTACCAACAAGTATATTATAACTCAGATACCATCTGAACCTCTGGTTTTGTCGCCACCTTCGTCGAGCCCCTTCACATTGCTTGCAGTCACCATTGCCATCGATCCCCTCCACCTCGCTTATAACCGAGTAGGATTTCGGCAATTTCTTAACTCGTAGAGATATTTTTCCGTAATTTGAGGCGAATTCCTAACAACGTATACGGAAACCAACCGTACACGTGAAGGTATACCTTATCGGTATTTTCCATAAGTCGTAGGATAGAGGGTATGCCTTATCCGTAACCCTGACAAGGACCTTTGCCACCGAACCAATAGCCTTGGATGAGCTCCTCCAATCTGTCGACGAACTCCTCCACTGCCATGAAACCTCATGTGTGGCGCTTGCTCCCCCAATCTCCACAAGGTCCACCACTGAGCCCACCCGGTGGCTCCTAGGCGCTTCCCCACCAGTGCCACCACAACCCGAAATGTTCCCCTTCGCGAGTAGATTCAGCTGGTCCGCTCCCACCGTCTTATTGTCGAGTACACCGGATTTAAAAGGATGTAGGCGGAAAGGAGTAAATTGGTTGGAGGGGATGAGGGCAATGGGAGTCAGGGCAAGGGAAGAAGGTTGATTACGATGGTGGACAAAGATGAGAGATCAAAGGGCTCCAACAGCCAGGGGAAGGAGGAGTTACGGCAGCAATGTTGCACTATGGGAGGATGGAGGCGACCGCACTTGCAGCGCTCGAGATGCCGAGGGGAATAGAGGATATATAAGCAAGTGGGATGGGATCCCGTTAAATAGCGTTTTTGTAATTCAATTATTGACACAAATCCATAAATCTTGATATTTTGAAATCAGAACATGCTAAACAATCAGTAGGAGGGTAATAATATTCTTTGCTTATTTACATATCATGTGGTATTTAAAAGGGGCCGATAGGCGAGCCATGCATAGCACGACTGATGGTAGTACGATTGGTTATAATTCTTGGACCTCTAATGCCAGTTGTCATAGTTACTCCCTTTGGTCATAAGATAAATAATGTCTTGGACTGATATAACCAGTCAAAACTTTGATTATTATACTTTGAAAAGTACATAGTTTTATAACATAAAAAATAGTATATATGTATATCACTCTTGAAAAGTGCTTTTTTAATCTCATAAACATAGTATCCTTTTTAATAAACTTATTCTAATACAAAATTATTGTCAAAATCGCACTTCAAAGATCGTTAAAAAAGTCAAACTTATTCTAATACCAAAAGAATTATATATTTGTGCATGAATGGCCGTCTCGTGCTTTCATGTCTTCAATGCACAAAAGTGGATGAAATTAATCCATCTAACCTTGCAATATGCTAACGTACCCTCCTTAATTTCAACATGTGCTAACATATACGCATGACATGCATTGGCCAGGACATGTTTGCAGGTGGAAGCGAAACAACATCAACAATACTTGAATGGGCCATGTCAGAGCTTGTGAAGAATCCTCAAGTGATGCAGAAGGCGCAAGCACAGATACGACTTGCTTTGCAAGGAAGATCTAGAATAACAGAAGATGACTTGATAAATTTAAGTTACCCAAAGAATATAATCAAGGAAACACTAAGACTGCATCCTGTAGCACCCCTACTTATGCCAAAAGAGTGTCAAGAGTCATGCAAAATATTAGGATATAACATTCCAAAAGGGTCAATCATGTTGGTGAATGTATGGGCCATCGGTAGAGACCACAGATATTGGGATGATGCGGAAGTATTTTTGCCAAAGCGTTTTGAGGAAATCACAGTTGATTTTGGAGGCACAAACTATGAATTCATACCATTTGGGGGAGGACGGAGAATATGTCCAGGCATAACATTTGCACATGCCACACTCGAGTTGGCCCTCACTGCTCTCCTATACCATTTTGATTGGCATCTTCCTCCTAGTGTTACACCAGATGGGTTGGACATGGAAGAGGAATTCGGGATGAACGTTCGTAGAAAAAGGGATCTTCATCTACATCCAGTAATTCATGTTGGAGTAGAAAAAGGTATAATGAGCTAGATATATGGTTAATGTAAGTGCATTTTTATAGGTGTGTATCGACTTCTTGAATAATCATCCTCAATAAAGTTGCACGACTCTCTTAAAGCGGTAAGCATTTTTTTAAAGATTATTAGCTTATAACTGGTTTTTAAAGCTATGCAAGATATGGTAGGTTCTTCTGCACGCTGTACTGTCTTCTTCCAGTCTTCGTACTTGCATTGGATGCCTAATTTCTTTGTGTTGTTCTACTATTACCTGGATAATTGCTTGATAAACAATAAAAGAGAACCGGACGAACTAGTTAGGCCCAAATAAAGCAGGCCCAACTTTGCCCGTTAGATGTCTTGGTTACTTCTTACTTGGGCCTGGTTTTCTCCATGGATTTGTGCAGCCGGACCTGTAAATAATTACAGGTAGACAGTAGTATTAAAAAAAGAGTACAGTACTACATCCATCAGCAGCCTCTGAAAATTATTCCCCTGAGAAGAAAAATCGCAGATTCTCTAACAACCAACGGCCTTGCTTGGACTATCGAGTCAGCTGACAGCTAGTGACGAACCAGTATGAACCAAATACGCGTAGTATGTAACTTAAATGGAATTATTAATTATATTGCATTTTTAATAGCAGGAATGGCACTTACTATTAATTTATACTCCCACTGTTTCGTTTTAATTGTAGTTGTGAGTTTCTATGTTCAACATTTGATCATCCGTCTTATTCGATTTTTTTATTAGTATTTTTATTATTATTATATGATAAAAGATTAATAGTACTTTATGCATGACTTATATTTTTAATTTTTTTATATTTTTAAATAAGATAGACAGTTAAACGTTCACGGAAACCCGCTAAAATAGAACGGACGGAGCATATTGCATTCAACTTGAGATACCTGAGCATTATAGCATCACTATTTTCTCATGTAGTAGTACGGTGGTAGTACGAAATGACACTTTTTAAATCACCTCCACTGATGATCCACTCCACTCCACTCCTCTCAGTTTCTAGCTTGACCATGGGCGGCGACCACAGGCTACAACCATTCCAAATTCTAGAGAATCTCAACTGCAAATTAACAAAGTTGTAGCACTACTCCTAATTATGAAACACAACACATGTCCAGCTAGCTAGAGAAATCATATCTCTGCACTGCATCCATACATCACCTGCCATTCCTCTTCTCACCCAAAAAAAATAATATAGCAAGAATAATTCTCCTGTACATATGTGTCATGAACTCTGAAGAAACTATATAATTAAAGAGCTAGAGGTAGCTAATTTCTTTAAAGACAAACATGTTAAGAGTAGTAGAAAGATAGCTGAGCAAGCTGGGCCATGTGCAGCTTAGCAACACTGTTCGCATCCGCGTTATAGTGTGGTTATTTGCTTCGTCGTCGCCGCTGAATTGGCGTGCAAGCTAGGCTGAATTATATCCTGGGAGTTTAGTACTAGACGCCGTTGTGTTCAGACAATCTCGCTTTCAGACTTTCAGTCGTTTTTTTTCAGAGTTTCAGAGTGATTGCGAGTCAAGCTAGCTATCAGCCAATAATTAACGAATGATTAAATGTGTTTCCGCCGTTACGCGGTTGGATCGATCCAATCCATCGATCGCCGGCCGGTTTGGGGCAGGAGGCAACTGTCTGCAGCTGCATGCTTTCATTGCTTCCTGGTCTCTTCTTCTTCTTCTTCCCTGCAGCCATGGATGGAGAGAGCTCGAGCTCGACGTGGTCTCCAAGCTGGAAAGAGAGCTATCTGACGCGACCTGATTTAACCCTCTGCGATTATTCTGCATGTGTCGTGCTGCGCTTTGTGGGAGTACTCCGTACTGGAGTGAGTACACCAGCACAGCTAGCTCTGTCAGATGCTGATCATGATCTCTTTGTTTCCAGTGCTCCCACAAAGCTGTCGCGTTGGCATTCTGCCACGTCGTCACCGCCACGTGCATGCGTCCGTGGCATGGACGTACACGTACGTACGTTGGATACTCCATCATAAAATTAATACTCCCTCCGTCGGTCCGTCCTAAAATATAACAACGGTTAGGCATCAGAATTTGTCCTATAATATAACAACTTGTCCACTAATATTTTCTTTCCAACCAATCACAATACTTCACTATTCACTTTTTCCCACCTATCTCCACTACCTATCCAATCACAACCCTCCATCACTCACTTTTACCAACTTTCTTAATAACCGTGTCTAACCCTAAAACTTTAGGACGGACATAGTAAATTTTTGGGTAAAAAGAATAGTTTATTTTGAAACGGATGAAATACGTACATTTGTAAACGATATGTGTATATGGCTGAAATGCGACATATATATATATATGGCTGCAATGTGTGTGTGGGCTAGTGTGTCCGTTACTTTGTGTTGAGAACTTCTCCACCTTAGCACGAAAAATAGTGTGACTCATTAGAATATGATTAATTAAATACTAACTTAAATAACTTGAAATTATATTAATAAGTTTTTCTCAAATAACTTTTATATAATTTTTTTAAAGAAATATATCATTTATCAGTTTAAGAAGTGTGCGCTTTGGAGAATAAAGAGAGCATAAGTTGTAAAAGTGGTGCAACGAACTTAGCCAAGTGTAGGATGGTCCGATGGCTACGACATGTTACTACGTACCGTCCTTGTCGTTACACCGGCCAGCTAACTAGAGATTGTTGGGCAGACAAGTGACAATGCTAACGGCAATGTCTTACTCAAAACAAAAGGAGAGGAGAAACCGCAATGTCAATGCCTACTAACTGGCTTGAAAAAGATGGACAATATTACACATATGTATCAATAACGCTCAATTAACTAAGGTTGTGTGGCTGATAGATAGCCTGATATATTTACACCGATCAAAGGCTCAAATTAATCAAGCACATGCATATGATACACATGATCGATCTTTGAGCAAACTAGTCGATATATGGATGCATGGATCGATCGATCGATCGAGTCTCCATCGATCCAACTATAGCAACATGTGCAGTTTTCTGGCACCACCACTAGATCGACCGATCATCACTGGATGATCATCATTATATTGTACGTTGCATTCGACGGCTGGATGATGATCAAAGATTATTAGGTGCACGTAATCGATCGATCTGCAGTGATGAACGCAGGTTCAATCGTGCACATGTGCCAATGATCCAAAGCCGTCGCTGTTCATCCGACTCGAACTCCTCTTGTCGACCCGAAAGAGATGCTTGACCGGTGCAGCCCGACGAATGCATGAATCGTGCACCGTTGGATCGATCGATCGTCCACGCAATTCATCACCAATGGCGTCAGATCGAAAGCAACCCCAAATCCACCCATCTATCGATCAACCCCAAAGCACGGATTAATTTGTTTGATTAATTTTTGGTAGTTATCAGGCTGATTATGTACTGATAATTAATCTCCGCTGATCCGGCCGTTTCAGCTTAATCATATCCATTAACTGTTCCGGTCAGAATTATCCCTGTATTTAAGCAAAGGATACAGTACTGAGCATCATTCATTTGTACTGTCTTGACCGTGACAGAAATGCTTTCTCGGTCAAATAATTGAATTGCTGTCCATTCAAAAGGGAAAAGAAAATGTATTTTTTGTGAATGCACGCGTGTGTTGCGTGAGAAGCTAGACAGTGGCCGGTTTAATCAAGGTTTGGTTAAGTTAATATCACTCCGTACTTCTCCTCAATCCTCATCAGTCATCCGAATTTTCTATATCTCAATCGATCGCCATCAGCTGCTAGCAAGTAGCAACCCAGCAACCTAGCTATAGTCAAGAGCCATGAGTATCAAACTGTTACTTACCACTACGAACTGTGATGTCGACTTGTAGTGAAAAAGAAAATCTGGAAAATAATCAAACTGAAGTGGTACTATTTGTGATTAGCTTAATCTGGACAGGACTAACCAGTTGCATTACACTACTAGTAGTACATTTGGGGAATAATTCGGTTTGTTTACACTGGTACAGTTAACGTACGTGACGTACCTTTCAGGTGGCAAGTGGGGAGCAGGAAAGACAGAGGAGAAGACAAAGAGATCAATTCAATTCAATTAATCAAGGACTAAACATCTGAATTAATCGGAATCATCGCAGGCAAAGCAGGAGCTAGACGGAATTAATAACTGGGAAAGCAGAGTAGTGGTTGGCACGTGCTAGGAGTATACTTAGTGTAACGTACACGTAGCAGGCGATTTTTTGCAGTTTTGCTGCCCGTGATTCCGGACTGTACGGCATGGGACCCACGTGGAGGAGTACAGGGGAAAGCTGGACAGGTCAGGTCGCCCGTACAGGGAGGTGTCTGGAGTAGTGCGTCTTTTGACAGGTCAGGTACTCCATCATGGCCATGGGCCTGGGCCTCCTTGCTTTGCATGTGCCGCGCCGTCGACGCCGCGTACGTACACTGCCCGGCCGGTTAGGTTTTTTTCTTAACGAACAATACGAGACAGTGCCATGATTCATTAAACACAGTAGGAAAAAATTACTACAAAAATTAAAGTCTTAGAAGACAGTAGCCAGGAAAAAAGAGAAAAGAAACTATTAACGGACACCAACAGCACCTACACCGGTCCCAGGAGAAAGCTCGACCACCGTTAAACATGATCGGTCGCCGCTAGCCTTACAAGGAAGCTACGGCCGAACCGGTCCGGCCGGGTGCCGAATTCCAGCCAATTCCGCGAGCAAATCGCATCGTCACGCTGCGGCGCGGCTACGGGTTGGAGACGGCAGGCAAGGCGCGCGCATTGCTGCAGCGGCAGACAGGATGGCACCGGAGCCGCGTGGGAAATCAACGCGTGCTGTACGCACACTACTCCACACTACACGGACTCATCAATGTGTCGCGCGCGACGGTGATCCACGGCCGCGCGCGCATTGTTTTTGCAGCAATTTTGTGGATGGATGCGTTGAAGAGATGGATGGTCGGGGCGGGGGTAGCGCTCCTGTTGCACGGAGGCTCCGGCCACTCACGGGGGATTCCATGGAGATTTTCTTGCAAAGGGAGACACTTTGGCTCCCAGTTGATCCGCTGTGCCGTGCAACTGGACGTACCACCTGTCGTTTCGGTACGGAACGCCTCCGGACCTTAGCACCAGTGTGATTAAATTATCCGTTAATTATTGTACGGTTTCGTGGGGATTATCCTCTTTGTACGTTACGGTGCTGTGTTGATTTTCTAC